AAAATTATTTTCTCCTACTTTTTCCTTCATTTAAATCTGCTTAAAAAAAAAGTTAGCATTCAAACTTTCAAAAAGAATTCTCATTCTGTTTTCTTTTATTGGCATTACATTTAAAAAATTAATTTGTAAACAGCTTTTTTGTTTTAATGAATTTATACTCAGTTCTTCCACGTAAAGTTTTCATGGTCTCACCTCAGCACCAATAACCACTTATATTATTCTCCTCTATGGGAAAACATATACAAATTCCATTTGCAAACATTTGACCTACAAACAAACTCTTGAGACACGATTTATTTGCAGCCAATAGATTACTGACAGAACTCAGGGGAAAGGTAGGAGTTAAGTCTGAATGGCAAGGGGCTAAAAAGGGTTAATTCAAGGAATTTGTCAGTATAAAAAGAAAGAGCAGGGACTTCCCTGGTGGCCCAGTGGTTAAGACTCCATGCCTCTAATGCAGGAGGCATGGATTCAATCCCTGGTGGTCCGGGAACTAAGATACCACATGCTGCGCGACCTAAAAAAAAAAACAAAAAAAACCCCCCAAAAAACGAGCAGCACCCCATGCTATTATGTTTTCATTTGCATATTTCTAGTACGGAACATATTTCCATAAATTCTAATTCCTTAATTCCCCAATTCTCTGATCTTTGAAACCCTCTAGTGAACATTAACAGGAACTGTGCTTTGGGTGAAGTGAAAAAAAACTGCTTTTGATTTTCAAATTCACTTAAAATATAAAGATATTATAAAATATTTTTTAAAAACCTTTAGAAGTATGCTTTTCTGACTTCTGCTTTAAGATAGCGAAATAAGCACATGCATTTGCCTCTCTCCTTTCTCAGGATCTTAGAGAAATGACGGTAAAGTGGTACAGCAATAAATCCATGGCAACACTGGAAAGAAGGCAGTGGTCTAGAAACTGTAAAAACTCTAGACAGGGAAGTGTAATTCTCTATAAGCAACCCAGTCTATGGTATTTTGTTACAGCATTCCTGACGGATTAAGACACCTGGCTACATCTTTTGGTACCAGGTCTTGAATCTTCAAGTGTCTTTCACTTCATTTCAAAGTCAATCTTAACATTTCTAAATACATTGTATTTCCTTTGTAACCTGCACTTTACACAGTAAACACTTGATGAACTGACCTATGCAGCTCTTTAAAAAGGGTGAAGTTTATTCCTCCTCAATCTGGTTTGATTTTATGGTCTCGGGGGCAAAGTTGACCCAGAGAAGTAGGCACCTGGTGTGGCTTATTCCACTATTCCTCCTTCCTTCCAGGAATAAAGAAAACACTTAACTTTGGAAAGATTGGAATAGCAATGCCGTCACTGTAATTTCTGTCATTTTACTACGTATAAATTCATATCACTTTGCCTTGCTCTGGACATTAATATATTTACATAGGTGGATGAATCCAAGAACTGCTTTGAAACCTCATCTGAAAAAAATTTTAATAGTCCTAGCTGTCCTTTCTAGTATCTCACTAACTCAAAGAAATATACTGCAAAAATGACCATCAGTTAAACTGAGCATCCATAGAACAAATTTAATTTCTCAAAACATCCAGCTTAATCCCAGAATACAGATAAACATCTATACTTGTTATTTTAAAGCATGTGTATTTGTGTGTTTAACTGACATTTTATAACCTAAATGTACATCAGTATGAGCTGGTTAAATTATCTTACCTCCACACAATGTGGTCATTATAAAGATATATGTATAAGTTTTAAAAGAGCTATGTACTGATATGGAATGATTTCCAAAATATGTTAAGGGAAAAAAGGAATAAAGAACAGTATATATGCTTTTTTTTTTAACGGGAGTGTATGTATACTTGAATATAAATATGCAACATATCTTTAGAAAGATACATAAGGAAGTGGAAATTGCTGCAACTAGAACAGAGGTACTTTTCACTGTGTGCCTTTTGTACTGCTTGAATTAAAAAAAAAAAAAAAACCCTGTTCACGGACTTCCTGTTTAAAATTTAAAAAAAGAGGATTTTATGTGTTACTATATACAATATTCTTACAAATCAGTAAGATGAAAGCCAAATAGAGAAATGGGCCATGGGAAAAAAAAAAAAATCACTAAAAAAATATAAACCACCATCAAATGTGGAAAAGTACATAACCCACTACTAATAAAAAGAAATAACAAAACCAAAAAGTATTATTTCCCTTCCCTCGATTTGGTAAAAATTCAAAAGCCTTATAGATTTGATAAGAATATGGGAAAATTTCACTGGTAGAAGTATAAACCTTTAAAGAAGGAAGGACTTCCCTGGTGGTCCAGTGGTTAAGAATCCACCTTCCAACGCAGGGGACTCGGGTTTGATCCCTCGTCAGGGAACTAAGATCCCACATGCTGTGGGGCAATTAAACCCGCATGCCACAACTAGAGAGCCCGCGCACCCCAACTAGAGGAAGCCTGCGCACCACAATGAAGAGTAGCTCCTGCTCGCCACAACTACAGAAAGCCCGTGCGCAGCGACCAAGACCCAACGCAGCCAAAAATAAATGAAAAGTACATAGAAAAAAGTTAAACATTACAAATAAGGTTAAAGTTCCTTTTGACTACCGCCCATCCTAGTAGTCAATGTTTTCAGTTTAGTGCATACCCTGTCCAAAGTTTTTTCTGTAAGTTTACATACTTAAATGTAGCCATAAAAAACACAGTATTGTTTCAAAAATATTCTGTATTATTTGGCAACATATATAAGTATGTTTTGACGTAAATTACATCTCTATTCCTTTTCTAAGAGAATTCCTTTTTTCCAGCTACAAAAGTTGGGTTTTGCCCCTTTTTCTCTTCCCTCACTGGGAAGCTTGTGTAACACGTGCACGAGCCTTTGTGTCTACTGCAGTATCTCCCCTTAAGCTTACAATGGTATTCACAGATGCTTATGGTAAATGCCAAATACATTTCGGAGATGAATAAGGAAAGGAGATTTTTATGAGAATCCAGGATTTATAGATTTTCCTTTATAATGAATACACAGTAGTGTATTTAAAATTTCATTTTCAAGCGCACGTTTATCACCTTACACTCTTCTATCACCTTACTCTTACTCCCTGAGGACAATGTATTTAAAATAAAAATCAAACAAAATATGTAGTCAAAGAACACGTCAGTGATTTTAATATTGATATGTGCTCAGAAATAAAACATTTCTTTGGAAAAAATTAAATGGATTAAATGATTACACAAATAAAGACAATTCTAAAAAACGAGTCCAAGCAATCTAATTTTGGTCAGAACAGTCACCTTGGAGCAATTAAAAAGCATCTGACTAAAACAAAAGGTTCAATGATACTACCTCTAAAATAAACATTTTATTTTATTTTTCTTAATTTTTTTTGACCATGCGGCATATGGGATCTTAGTTCCCAGACCAGGGATCCAATCCATGCCCCTGCAGTGGAAGTGTGGAGTCCTAACCACTAGACCACCAGGGAATTCCCTTAACATTTTAAAAATGATTAATATATTTGCTGTAAACTGTGTAAACTGGTAATTCATCTTAAAAATTTTAAATTAAAAAAAAATTATTAGGCTGCCAGGCCAAAAAACATTATACTGTCTCAGGATGAATTATTTAACATTAGAAAAACAATTTTCAAATATATTATAAAAGCAATATATTACTTCAAAAAAGCTTAAGTTTCTATTAACAGAAATAAATTAATGTTGAAAGCAATTATATGTACATGAGTGTGTGTATGTTCACACTCACAACATTTAAAATACCACTCAAATTTTAATGCATTAGGTCTTTACCAAATCTTATTTGCAGCTTTGGGGCATCAGTAAACACAGTTATCTGTTTGTGTATATCTCTCAAAGTATTCCTAGATTCTTTTCTTTTACTTAGTTTAAATACTAGCTCTAGATAATGAAAACCTGTATCAATGCAAATGAAATAAAAATAACTTCAAATGTAAATCAGATGAAAAAAATTAACACTAATAGATTCTAAAACCAAATAGAAATTAATTTTGATAGCTGAGTATCTTGGATTATCAGTACATCTTTTATTCTTCATATGAGTGAACAATCAAGATGACTATAGCAAAATGATCACAGTTCATATTTAGAAAATATTTACCTCATCATTAAATGATCAGGTTTATTATTTGAAATATCAAAATAAAATGTTTTGCTATTTTCTATTTTTATTCTATACTTCCTTTTTAGAACTAGTCAGAAAAACTTTACTTCAAATACTACAAATAATATAAACATTTAATATATTTATCTTATTATTTTTAAAATATTTATTTATTTATTTAATTTTGGCTGCATTGGGCCTTCATTGCTATGAGTGGGCTTTCTCTAGTTGCAGCGAACAGGGGCTACTCTTTGTTGCGGTGCACTTCTCTCGATGAGGAACACGGGCTCTAGGCGCGTGGGCTTCTGGAGTTGTGGCGCTCAGGCTCTAGAGTGCAGGCTCAGTAGTTGTGGTACACGGGCTTAGTTGCTCCACAGCATGTGGTATCTTCTGGACCAGGGATCAAACCTGTGTCCCCTGCATTGGCAGGCAGATTCTTAACCACTGCGTCACCAGGGAAGTCCCAACAATTTAATATATTCAGTACAACCTGATTTTAAGGTGTTTCTTCAACGTTTGATAATACAGTGATTAGGATCAAGATAGCCACATTAGGGCTTCCCTGGTGGCGCAGTGGTTGAGCGTCCGCCTGCTGATGCAGGGGACGCGGGTTCGTGCCCCGGGTCCAGGAAGATCCCACAAAAAAAAAAAAAAAAAAAAAAGATAGCCACATTATATATTCAAAGGAAATATTTCCCAAACTTGCCTTGTAAATTAATAAAGAATCCGTTGAGGAAAGTCAACAATGATCAAATTTAAAACGTCTTTATTCATTTATATGGTAAATACTGTCCCCTACTAAAAAACAATGACATTGGTCTTTCAATCTGTCAAGCTTAGCTTAAAAGAAAAATCATATGTCTCTTTTCTATATCATGTTTTGACAAGACATAGGATGCAGGAGGTAAAAATCAATTTAACAGACATTATTAAATAATTCCACACATATGCAGAATCTTGGATAAATGGTTAAAATTATAAGTGAACATTAAATGTGGGCACATGAATATTCCATGTACACCAATGGGTTTAACAGAAAATATGTTTGCATTGATTTCTGGTAACCAACTTGCTTTCTTTGAATCTTTAAATACCCAGTTCCAAATCTTCCAGCTCCTGGAGAAGGGCTTTCTCTTTCTGAATTTTCTCCAACTAGAAAAGTTTAAAACAATAAAGTTATTAAATAGGAAATAAAATAATTATTGGATCTATAGCCATATAGCAAAAGAGAAAAAATTTAGAGAAAGAATATTTCTGAGACTTTACCAGATCTACTGGTAAACATAGATTTAAAAATACAGATTAGAAACAAGTTCTAATTTGTTATTTGGTATGAATTAAGGGAGCAAAAAACGGAGCTGTCTTACTGCATGCACCTTTAGGTCTAATAAATCTTCCATTCTACACTTGGGCTTCAAAGTGTTGAGGAAAGGAGGAGGGAAAGGGGCAAATGGGACAGTGCGACCTGAGACACAGGAAAGAAGAGAATCTTCTATTTGTCTAACATAATATAAACTGCCTTTATTTTCAGCAGCAGTGGCATTAGTATGCCTCAGAGGAAATAGGGACTTCCTCATTCACCACGATCCACATCATGTCTTCCCCTATCTTTGCCTATTTAAGACTAAAAATGTTAAAAAAAAAAATGGCACATGGTTTTCAAAAGAAGTTTTAAAATCTATATGCTCTTTTACCTGATTAAATAATTGCTTATAATAAAAAGGGGAAGGGTGGTAGTGACTGTGAGCCCAAATAAAAAATGCAGAAAAGACCTGATTTTTTTCTAGCTGTTTTCCAGTTGCTGCTTGTTCTTTCAGTTGTTCAATTGCTTTCAGTTTCTGCAAACATCAAACATATTATGAGTCAAAAGGAAGAATAAGTAATTTTAGAATGCAAATTTTATTAACAATTCAATCATATAAATGTGAAAGATGAATAAGGAAAATCAATTATCTTACATTTGTATCAGGAACAGACTGTTAAAATGCTAAGGTAAACTACTTTTTAAAATTAAATGTAAAATTGGGTATGTTAAGAACATGGAATTTAGCAAAGTATTTTTCAAGATTTTAATTAATATTATCATATATGTACATCTATGTGTATACATGTACATGTATATGTATTTAAATACATCACCGTTTTCACCATTTATTTCAGAACCTCATTGTACCTGGACGATGTCTTTGGCTTTAAGAGAAACTCCATAATGTAGCCTGGGAAGGGCTCTAGAAACCTGGATTTTACCTCCAAGGCCACCATCACAAACTGGTTGCAATTTGACAAGTTAATAAACTTCTTTTTGTTTCTCTTTCTTCATCTTTAAAAATGGGATAAATATCCGCTCTTACCTGTCTCACAAGTGTCTAATGAAAAAGTGAGTATAAAAGTGTTCAAATGTACTTTATTTCTTATTACTCCAAAAATCAATAATAAAGACTAATATCCTTTAGACAACTGTGAACAGAACTAAAATAGGTGCCATTCCTAAGTTACAGTATTTCATGGTGAAAAAGCAACAATGAGGACTGTACAAACCTCTCGGGTGCCTGTCTTTAGGCATCTAAACATTACTTTATTTGTATAATTCTCATGTATTCTTTCAATAAACACATGTGCTTTTCACTTAAGCCTCCCACCTTCTTTAGGTTCTTGATTTTTTTGTCTATCTCAGGGTCTCCAGAAGTTGACTGAGAGATAGCATTTCGTGGTGTGCACTGTGGGGCAGGGGTAGGTGCCATATCTGGACTCTTATCACTTCTTGCTTCCTACAGGAAATATTTTCAAAAATTCAATTTTCTAAAATGAAATCATTAAAGTATTTCAACAAACATAGCCTTGGTACATAAAACTCAGAAACCAATATATGATTTTATCTTTTGCACATTTTATATAAAGAAAGCATCTAAATTGCTGGTCTCATGAAGTATGCTATATTGTCCCATAACAGATAATTATAATGAAGCATTCAAAAAAGTCACAGTATAATAAACTACCCAAAAGGTTTTCACTATATAATTGTCATAGGGAACACTTTGCTAGATCTAGGATTTAAAGTTAGGGACTTCCCTGGCAGTCCCATGCTTAAGACTCTGCGCTTCCAATGCACGGGGTATGGGTTTGATCCCTGGTCAGGGAACTAAGATCCCACATGCTGTGACGTGTGGGCCGCCCCCCCCCCCAAAAAAAATTAAGGTAACATAATAATAAAATAAAAAATAATAGTATATTAGTAATATAATATTAGTAGTATGATGAAATATTATGTTAGTAATATAAAATATATAATTAGTAATATAATAACAAATGGAAATAAATGAAATGACCTTAGCAGAGTAAACTAGGAATTTTCTGTATCAGCAAATAAGCATTCCAAATTTTTGGATATTTTGGTAAGTGCCACTATGTGGATGGTTGGAAATGTGAGAGGGCTTTTCTAATTAAGGTGTTTGAAGTTTCACTCTTGGGATATCCTCAAAAACTTTTACACATATATCAAGTACATGTAATAGTTGATGCTACAGGATAAGTTTCATAGAGATTTATTTATAATCACATCAATTCAGCTCTGCAAGAAAGTGCCATGGAAAACTTTGTTCCCTGAAAGGGACAGTATATTGCTCCCAATGTGATCAGATCTCTGATGACCTTTCTAGCTTCATCCCTTCTCACCGAGTAACCACTGATTCTGAACCATTTTTTATTTCCCCTAAGGTGTCATATATTCTTATTTCCTGGCCTTCATGTGTACTGTTCCCTGTGCCTAGAACACCTTCAGGTCACCTGGCTGACCCTACTTATCCTTTAGGCCTCTGGAAAATTCCCCCACCCCCCAAGAGACCAGATTAGTTGCACAACACATGGTATGTTTCCTTACTGTAACTGCACTGTACTATCCCCCATGAGACTGTACCTGAGGTTCTTTGTTCACTTGTGCCCTCAGCATAATGTGAGCTCGACTGTACGTGCTAAATAAATGAAAGAGCAAAAGACTGACTCTCCTTTGTAATTATGACAAGACATACGTTTTGACAAGAGGAGGGAAAAGTTATGAAAGTCTTTCTTTATTGGACCAAAGGTAGGGTTTCTACTTCTTCCTTAGAGAGTTCCCAGTGGAATGCAGAGACCCTGCAAGACTCTAAAACCTCTTAAGAGTTCTGGGTGGAATACTCCGAACTACCAAAGCACCCCAGGGGAACATGGGACAGGCTATCACTCCTTGATCTCCAAATCTAAAAAAATGTCTGTCTGAGAGTTTTTAGAGAGTGCAGAATTGGAGTATTTTTTTCTCTTTAGAGTCATGTTGGTTGTATTTTGTACATACAATCAACAAACATTAATTCCTAACCTTCTATGTGAGAACATTACTGAGCACTTTAACAGAGTATTCAGAAAGAAATTATTTAGTTTCCACTCTTAAGGAGCCTATAAGTTCTGATAATATACGGTTTGGTATTTTTCATAATATAAAATTAAAGGAGAAGAGACACACTTTGCCTATCAAAATGCACTTTTGACATCAGATAAAAAAATTTTAATTTAGTTGTTTGTAATCAGCTGAGAATATTAATTTTCTAGGAAGATAAATGTCATAAATATGAAAAACTATTAAAGTTAAGTGAGGGACTTCCCTGGTGGCTCAGTGGTTAAGAATCCGCCTGCCAATACAGGGGACACAGGTTCGATCCCTGGTCTGGGAAGATCCCATGTGCCATGGAACAAGCCTGTGCGCCACAACTACTGAAGCCCGCGCGCCTAGATCCCGTGCTCCGCAACAAGAGAAGCCACGGCAATGAGAAGCCTGTGCACCACAACGAAGAGTAGCCCCTGCTCGCCACAGCTAGAGAAAGCCCGCGCACAGCAACAAAGACCCAACACAGCCAAAAAAATAAAAATAAAAACAAATTTAAAATAAATAAGTAAAGTTAAGTGAAATGACGATTTTCCTCCATATTTAAAAAAACCAAGAACAAATTAAAATGTATACCTGAATTCTGGTCATTCTCTAAAAAAGGTTACGTACATGGTAAGATTAAACTCTTTGTTTCAGTTAATTTTGGTATAGCTGATAAGCTTACAAAGTCATCACCAGTTTATAAAAGTACTTGGTTAGATTATGTACATCTGACTCCTTTATCTTTGGTTCCTTAATTCAGTCAGGGATGAGATCCTGTCATAGATCATTTACCTTTGTTCTATCACACAGTCATAACTTTTACTAACTCCAGCCAGTTGTCTCAAAAATACATACTGAAAGGATTATCTTGCAAGTAGAAAACTCTTTGTCATCACTGAGAAAACATGCAGAATAACTCCAAAATGACAGAACAGTAGTATCATCTTTAGTAAATAACATGTGTGGGTGATTATATGGTTGTATGAGGTGGGGTGTGTGTTGGGGGTTGTTTTTGTAATTATTATGTTTTACATTAATAGAACTGATTGTTTTTTCAAAAGAACCACAGAGTTATCTTTAAGAAAGTCACATTGGGACTTCTCTGGTGATCCAGTGGTTAGGACTCCACGCTTCCATGACAGAGGGTGTGGGCTCCCTCATTGGGGAACTAAGATCCCACATGCCGTGCGGTGTAGGCAAAAAGAAAAAGAAGTCAGACTATTTTAATATTAATTTTTCTAAATAAGACATACTGATTCTATGACCCTCCTCCCCAAATTTTATGTGCTCAAATACCAGAATAACACAAAAAAAGTAAACAACTAATGGGACTTCCCTGGTGGTCCAGTGGGTAAGACTCCATGCTCCCAATTCATGGGGCCTGGGTTTGATCCCTGGTTGGGAACTAGCTCTCACATGCATGCCACAATTAAGAAGTCTGCATGCCACAACTAAGAGTCCACGTGCCTCAACTAAGACCCAGCGCAGCCAAAATAAATATTTTAAAAAAATAAACAACTAATATTTTATTACAAAGGGACCTTAGCTCAGTACCAGCAATGGTCATATTAAAAATATCTTCTGATAAAGAGGAAGAAACATCACTTATAAAAGTAGGATTCTACGTTGAGGGTGTTTCTGAAGGCCCTTAAATCTCAGTTAGAAGGAATCTTATACAGTCATTATAAAAAACAGTATGGCGGTTCCTCAAGAAATTAAAAATATGTGATCCAGCAATCTCACTTCTGGGTATACATCCAAAGGAAACAAAACTCATTATCCCAAAGAGACAGCTGTACTCCCATGTTCACTGCAACATTATTTATAATAGCCAAGGTATGGAAACAATCTATGTGTCCTTCAACGAAAGAATGGATATAGAAAATGTGATATATAAACATACCTACATATTTACACAGAGTAGAACATTATCCAGTCATAAAAAAAGGAAATCCTACCATCTGCAACAACATGCATGAAACTGGAGGGCATTATGCTATGTGAAATAAGCCAGAAAGAGAAAGAGAAATACTGCATGGTACCACTTATATGTGGAATCTAAAAAAAAAAAGAAAAGTCAAACTCATAGAAACAAGAGAGTAGAATGGTGGTTGCCAGGAGCTGGGGGGTGGTGGGAGAAATGGCGAGAGGTTGGTAAAATGGTACAAACCGTCAGTTATAAGATGAACAAGGTCTGAGGATCTCATGTATAACATGGTGACTGTAGTTGATAATACTATATTGTACTGAATGAATACAGTCAATGAAATTTGCAAAGAAAGTAGAATTTAAGTGCTCCATCCCCCAGAAGTAAATATGTAAGGTGATGAATGTGTTAATTAACTTGATTGTAGGAATCCTTTCACAATGTATACCTATATCATATCATCACGTTGAACACTTTAAAATTTTTATTTGTCAATTATACCTATAATTATTAGCTGGAAAACCAACAACAACAAAAAAGGAATCTTAGCTACCAGTTTGTAATATTCGGGGCTAGCAGAGGTCTCTACCCACTCTGATGAAAGGCCAAGTCCTCCTTTTTACACAAGTCTAATACATGGACTAGATCATTTTACTTGGACGGACCTAAGCCTGAGTCATTTAAAGACATTTCTGGAGATGAAATATATTAACTACAAAAGAGCACACCGATTTTTTTAGGCCCAGATTTTAGCAGAATATGGCTGCATAATGAAATTCTGTACCTTAAAATAATAACTGCCTGTCAAAACACACAAGTAACCTAGAACTGTCAAAATTCAAGCATTAATAGGCAAGATGGAATTGTCTCAATCTCAAAAATGTGGTTACCATGACTTTACTAACCACAAATTTCCAGCCCAGCAGATCTCACTATCACTGTAAGCCACATACCATCACAATTTACTTGTCAATTATTATGCTGGTGTGGTTTTTCAACTACCAAATCATATAAAAAATTATTTTAGAACAATTCCATTGTTTGGGTACTCTAGTGTTTAGATTCCCAGCTGAACAATTCCTATAGTAATATACTGAGTGACAAAATGGCCTTATAGTCATGTAATTTCTGGTTTCTCTTAAACATATGCTTTCAAAAAAGCAAACTATACCACTTCACACCGGCTCCTCCAAAAGGGTCTGTTGCAAGTAACACACTACATAATCTCATGAGGGTTTCAGGTTTTAAGGTCAGTTCCAGTTTCCTAGGTCCCACGTTATACATAAAGGACTACTGAGAAATTCATAGGCAAACACAAAAGAGACATTCTGGCTACTTAAGTCTAACTCCAACTACATTTTATAACCTGTCAAGTTTTTAGGACTACAATTCTTTAAACTTTAAGGCATACAGCTAATTTAACTGGTTTTATTTGTTTGTTTTGTTTGAAAAGATAAGTGCCCCAAGTACCTGCTTTGCAGCTTTCTTAGCCTCATGCTTCCTTTGATTTTTAAGAGCTGTTTTTGATAACGGCTTCTCATTTCCTGGTTGTGGTTTCATATTCTGAGGTGGTTCTTCCTCATGCTATAGAAAATGTAAAATACATGACTTTGAAATGGAGTCCATGTATTTACAAACATATACAACAAATTATACAATTTGGCTAGTACAGGACAAACTTACTTTACCAAATTTATCCTAAGTTCACTGGCAAAGAATATTTCAAAACTCTTGTTGTAGGCACACTTCAACGGTCAAGATGGATTTAATAAGGACTTTCCTACTGGTTGATATATGATATCTTTCAGTTATATAACAGCCAGCAAAATTCACTTTATTTTTGTTTAAACAATGGAATTTTTCTTAGTACTACCACTGACACATGATTTTTATGAAATTAGATACTAACTATAGTTTCTTCTGGGGTCCTTTTGGATTTGACTACTGCCAACAGAAACAGCTGCCTCATTTGTTTTCTTTGCACAGTCACTTGCTAGATCTTGCAAAATCAGAGATTAGAAGATTAAAAATAAAAGCAAATGGAAAAACTAAAACAGACAATAAAAAAATAAATCAAATAAGAAGGGGGTAACTACATAGTTATAAATCCAGAATTAACATAATGAAGAGGTTTTAAAACACTAAATGACTTGTCAGACTATACTGTGAAAACAGGAAATCATTTTCATCATCAGATATTTATATAACTATCAACCACATTCAACAACAACAGAATTACATACAGGATCAAGAAGGATCTAATGTAAAACACAGTGACTATACTTGATAGCACTGTATTGTATAATTGTATAACTGAAATTTCCTGAGGGTAGAATTCAAATGTTCTCACCAAAAAAAAAAAAAAAAAAAAAAAAAAAAGAAGATAAATATGTGAGGTGATGGATATGCTAATTAACCAGGTGAGGGGAAACCTTTCACAATGTGTATTAAATCACCATGATGTACACTTTTGAAGTTTCTTGAGTACTAGAACTCAGAGCTATATTGTACTTATAAGTGCTATAATCAAATGCGCAGGGCTCAAACATTTAAGATATAGAGGAATAAGTAAAAAACCATAAAGTTATTTTTATCTTAGCAGCTGCATTAACTATTGCAGGCATCGAAGTTCTGTGTGTGAACATACCCTACTTGAAGCAACTGAATATATGAGAACCCACATTTGGAGAACAAATTTGCATGGCAAGCCTCTTGCACTTTTTTGATCCACTGCACATAATGTTAGTTAAGATATACTAATCCTTGAACATTTGTTTTATAGTCTTTCAATAGTGAGTTCTTCTATAGTATCTTGCTTTGGCTGAAAAAGTTTCTACTCATGAGAACTTTAAAAAAAAAGAGAAAGCAATTAAGAATGAGGCAAGAAGAAAGGATGAGTTACAAGTCTCTTCCACACTATGAGCATCATGTAGCCACTGACAGACTTTCATTTTATTTATTTATTTTTAGCTGTGTTGGGTCTTTGTTGCTGCACGTGGGCTTCTCACTGCGGTGGCTTCTCTTGTTGCGGAGCACGGGCTCTAGGTGCGCAGGCTTCAGTAGTTGCGGTGTGTAGGCTTAGTTGCTCCGCGACATGTAGGATCTTCCCAGATCAGGGATCGAAACCATGTCCCCTGCACCGGCAGGCGGATTCTTAACTACTGCACCACCAGGGAAGTCCCCTGACAGACTTTCATTTTAGATGAAAAAAATCCACACAGCTACTATGGATCATGAGCTTTTCTGGCTTTAGCACTGTGTGTCTACTGTACACAATTTCATCCTCATTAATAAAGTTTGTTTCTTCAATTACATCAATTATAAGATTGTCTTGATGAACACATTATAAAAGTGAAGGGTTTTTTTGAAAGCCAAGAATACTTCTTTAAGTATAATTTATATATGAATTTTTACTTATAAAAAAAGTAATTTTTTCCTTCAGGGGGAAGAATCCAAACACCTTTTTTCCCCTCTGCTATGTAACCTTCTTCCTTTGTGAAGTTATTGACCAGACTATCTTTGTTTCTAGTATTTCTTTTTTTTTTAAAAAATAAATTTATTTATTTATTTATTTTTGGCTGCATTGGGTCTTCGTTGCTGCGCGCGGGCTTTCTCTAGTTGAGGCGAGTGGGGGCTACTCTTCGTTGCGGTGTGCAGGCTTCTCATTGCAGTGGCTTCTCTTATTGCTGAGCACGGGCTCTAGGCGCAGGGGCTTCAGTAGTTGTGGCTCGCGGGCTCTAGAGCGCAGGCTCAGTAGTTGTGGCATACAGGCTTAGCTGCTCCGCGGCATGTAGGATCTTCCCGGACCAGGGCTCAAACCCTTGTCCCCTGCATTGGCAGGTGGATTCCTGACCACTGCGCCACTGGGGAAGTCCTTCTAGTAATTTCTTGACAAAGTTTTCTTTGCCATTTAGTTTTCTGGAATTAGATACAAACAATAATTTCTCATTCATAGGCATATAGTTCCTTCAAATAAAATGATGTGATAGGATCACATAATCACCAGGTTATATACAAAAGCAAGAATTTAGTAGAAATCTTAAATGTCAAAAACGTTTGGTTTGGGGACTTCCCTGGTGGTCCAGTGGTTAAGAATCCGCCTTCCAATGCAGGGGCCGCACGTTTGATCCCTGGTCGGGGAACAAAGATCCCATATGCTGCGGGACAACTAAGCCTGCGTGCCGCAACTACTGAGCCTGATCACCACAACTAGAGAGAAGCCTGCATGACACAATGAAAGACCCCACATGCTGCAACAAAGATCCTGTATGCCGCTACTAAGACCCGGCACAGCCCAAAAAAAAAGAGTAAAAAAAACAGTTTGGTTTTAAGAAGTTCTTACCTAGTTTTTTCTATCTTCAAAATATATTCTTTCTATATTAATTTTTCTCCCTCCACCAACCAAAACAAATTAGTTTTATGAGTCAGAGAATAAAAATATACACTAATTCAGAAGTTCTTCCTCTTGTGCTATCTTACACAGATTTAGAAAGCAGGATGTGTTAAGGTCACTTCTTTTTTTTATCTCAGGTAAGGAAAATTTCAATAAAGAGACAGAACAAATCCTAAGACTATTCTATCCTTTTTTAAAAAAATCTAAACACAAAAATAATAAACATGGCTTAATTTGTTATACGTTTCTATATATTTTTACTAAATAACTTAATGCAACAAAAATATTTCAACAACGTTTCATTGAAGTCAAAATGCTACATTTTGTGGAGGAAGAAGGCTTGTTCTTTTGTTTTTGTTTTTCAAAGGGTTAGGAGCACAATGGAGGCACAGAAACATTTATCCTTTGAAAAAGTATCTACTTCCCCGAGTGCCTTAATGATTAAGTGACTATATATTCCCATTTACTTGGAACAGTCCCAGTTTACACCTATTGTATGGTCATCATTCTATTAATATGAATAATATTGTTCATTCTTATAGGGCAACTTTATTCCTTAACGTCATCACAGAAACTCAGGATATTAATAAATGCTTTCCCCTGAGCTCTGAAATGCTAACATTTTAAAGCAGATCAGAATCTGACCAATACTCCAGTCATAACTTAACAACAGAGGTCTGGAACTGATGGCCTAAGGACAACAAGTGTGTTTTGTTTGAACAGCAGTGTTTTAAAAATTGAGAAATTTCATACAAGCATCCAGACTTGTCTTGAAAAGTCAAACTTTTGGCAAACTGGGCCTAAAATCTCCTGTGGAAACAATGGGCTACTGCTGTGTAGCTGCTATGGCCTTGAAAGAGGGTATGCTCTCTCCCTTTCACCATTCTCTCCCATTCACCATTGCCTTACACTAACAGCCTAGCCTGACAGGCATTTGAATTTGAGCCCACAATCTATACCCAGTAAGTCACACCCAGTTATCTTTCCCAGAGATTTTACATTAATTACTTTGTCAACTTAACAATAATTCACTGGGACTTCCGTGTCAGTCCAGTGGTTAGGACTCCTTGCTTCCACTACAGGGGACTGAGGTTCAATCCCTGGTCAGGGAACTAATCCCATAAGCCGCATGGCACGGCCAAAAAAACAAACAAAAAAAACAAAACCCAAAACCACCATTCACCATCTTCAGCAGCAGGTCCTCCACAATTTCTACCCTAGAGTTTATATCTTCTAATCAGATACTAAGTAACACAAGAACATGCATAAGAAAAGGATCTAGGGAACTCTACACACTGAAAAACCTTTTCCTACCAAAGTAGTAAAACTTTACTTACCAGTTTGGAATTGGTGACTGGTTTATTTCTTAAAGCTGGGGGTCTATAAGCTGTTGCAACTTTAGGTTCTTCACTAGGTATATTACTTGGAACTGCTTGGTAAGTTATCGCTTTTTCTGGAAATATTCCATCTAAGAATGGCTGCCAAGAAACCTGCCATAATTCTGCATTTGATGGTACATCATACTTGTGCAAGACAGAGCCGGTATAATGCCAAATCTTGTACCCATTATTAACACGTAACCTGGGAGCACACGTGGCTGTTAAAATATGCTCACCATCTGGGCACCAAGCAAAATATGTAGAATCAGAGGCCACCGGTTTAGAAATAAGTTTGTAGTTTTTAACATCCCACACTTCCATCTGCCCCCTCAGATTTCCAAATCCAGCTAGTACTAATATATGTCCATGAGGGCTGTAGTAGGCTGCATTACGAGGGCCAGTTCCAAAGTCAAACACAGGATCACACTTCAAGTTGAAAATTGTTGCTTTGGCAGGCATGAAACCATAAACAGCACAAAACTCAGTAGAACTAGAATTCCAAACTACATCATAAATGGGGCCATTTTTTGCTAGAAAAAGAAGATAAAATCCAAGTTAGTGATAAAGAAATATGTATAGTATTATAATATTTAATAGCACAAATTACAATCATATAACACTCATAAACACATCAAACACTAAAAAAAAAAATCCAAAAATTTCATGGTATGTTAAAATTAAAATATTTTTACATGACATACTATGGGGATTAATGTATGATTATAAATTTATTTAAGAACCCCTAATGAATCTTAATTTCTTTTATTTTTTTATAATTGTTTTGCAATTTTGTATATTATTATTTGTCTTTAGTACTTTTATTTAAATTTTTTTTTTTTGGCCATGCTGCGTAGCATATGGGATCTTAGTTCCCTGACCAGGGATCAAACCCGTGCTCCCCTGCAGTGGAAGCACGGAGTCTTAACCACTGGACCACCAGGGAAGTCCCTTAATTTCTTGTAAACGTTCTGGCAATGTGGGCTCATAGAAGCATAGGTTATTATTACTATTAAAAAACTAGTTTGTCTTGGAAGAGGTAATATATGCATACAGTAATAAAGATACAAACTATATAAAAAGACATGCCACAAAAATAAGTCCCTCTAGATATCGGCTTGGTGCTTTGTGACTGCCTGGAGGGGTGGGATAGGGAGGGTGGGAGGGAGGGAGACGCAAGAGGGAAGAGACATGGTAACATATGTATATGTATAACTGATTCACTTTGTTATAAAGCAGAAACTAACACACCATTGTAAAGCAATTACACTCCAATAAAGATGTTAAAAAATAAATAAATAAATAAGTCCCTCTACGCAAAGGCAGCCCTCTGTTATACTTCTTGCATATCCTTTCAGAATATTTTTGTTGACATTAAGCATCTCTCTCTTAAGCACTTACACACACAAAAAAAGTTCTAAACCTTTGTTTTCATTTAATACTCTTGGAAATTTTTCCATGTAAGCACACTGAGCTCTGCCTCATTCAGTTGCACTGTATTCCATTACAAATCTTGCTGTTTATACTCCACTGTAAATGTACACAAATACATCTGTAGGAGAGAAACTGCCTGGTCAAAGGGCACATACATTTACTTCATAATGTACCACCAAAATGCCCTTCAAAGAACTTGTACCAATTTACACTACCAGTAGTTTTTTTTTTTTAATTTATTAAATTAATTTATTTTTGGCTGCGTTGGATCTTTGTTGCTGTGCATGGGCTTTCTCTAGCTGCGGTGAGCGGGGGCCACTCTTCGTTGTGATGGCTTTTCTTGTTGCGGAGCACGGGCTGTAGAGCACAGGCTCAGTAGTTGTGACGCACGGGCTTAGCTGCTCCGTGGCATGTGGGATCCTCCTGGACCAGGGCTCGAACCTGTGTCCCCTGAATTGACAGGCAGATTCCCAACCACTGCGCCACCAGGGAAGCCCTACTAGTAGTTTTTTTTTTTTTTTTTTTTTTGGTGGTACGCGGGCCTCTCACTGTTGTGGCCTCTCCCGTTGCGGAGCACAGGCTCCGGACGCGCAGGCTCAGCGGCCATGGCTCACGGGCCCAGCCGCTCCGCGGCATGTGGGATCCTCCCGGACCAGGGCACGAACCTGCGCCCCCTGCACTGGCAGGGGGACTCTTAACCACTGCGCCACCAGGGAAGCCCCCTACCAGTAGTTTTTGATAGCAAAGGTTTTCCCCTCACTCTCACTCATACTGTTTCATATTTTTATCTTTGCCAACCTACTAAGTGAAAAATTGTATCTTGTTTCCCTTTATTATAAATGAGGCACCTTTTAGTATACTTACACATAATTTTATTTCTTTTTTGTGGACTATTTTTTACTGTCCTATACCTATTTTTCTCTCCTTGAGATATTAAGAAAATTCACCTTTTCTCATTATTTATCCCTTGTCTAAAAATTTTTTCCCCTAATTTTTTGTTTGTTTTGCTTAATTTATGGACTCCTTTCTTCCCCCAGTGTAGAAGTCTGTAATGTCATATACTAAAATTTATCACTTTCCCCATACGACTTCTACCTTATTTAAAGTCTTTTTCTACTTTAAGATTAGAAAAATATACATACAGCTGATTCACTTTGCTGTAGCTGTACAGCAGAAACTAACAACATTGTAAAGCAACTATACTCCAATAAAAATTTTAAAAAAAATTAGAAAAAAATTCTCCCATATTTTCTTCTAGTTCTGTAGTTTTAGGTATACTTTTTTGGCCCAATTGGAACTTATTTTGGTAAAGAATTAGCAATAGTAACTTTTTTTGTTGTTGTTGTTCGTTTGTTTTTCAGTACGTGGGCCTCTCACTGCTGTGGCCTCTCCCGCACAGGCTCCGGACGCGCAGGCTCAGCGGCCATGGCTCACGGGCCCAGCCGCTCCACGGCATGTGGGATCTTCCCGGACCGGGGCGCGAATCCGCGTCCCCTGCATCGGCAGGCGGACTCTCAACCACTGCGCCACCAGGGAAGCCCAGCAATAGTAACTTTTTGTTCCAAATAGCTAGCCAACTGTCCCTAAACCATATATTAAATGATCAATATTTTCCTGCATTGATTCAAATGCTGACTTTATTATATATCAATGGCTTTGGAAGTATGGATCTATTTGTGGATGCTATTGTGTTCCACTGATTTATCTGCTTATCCATAAGCCAGAACCAAATTGTCTTAATTAAAATTGCTTTACATTTTAATATCTAATAGTATCAGAATCCCTCCTTCACTACTTTTCTTTTGCAAAGTTTTCAAAACATTCTTGCATGTTTATTTTTCAATATCAACTTTAGAACCAGCTTATCTAGTTGTATAAAAGAAAATCTACTGGCATTTTAGTTTAATTTTTGGATCAGTTTGGAGAGAAATGACATCTTTGTAAAGTTATTAAAGGTTATAGTTTGCCCCTCAGAAGTTTTAAAGTTTTCTTCCCATCAGCCCTATATATTTCTTTTTTGTTGCTGTATATGGAATCTTTCCTTCCATTTTGCTTTTTAAGAGGCTGTTGTTTATGCTGTAACTTCATCTGATGAGCAGAAATGATTCGATTTTCACCTTTCAAAACTGTATACTTACTCTTTTGATCAGGTACACTGACTAGGTCTTTCAGAATGTTAAATGATAAATGGAAGGGGGGCGGGTCATCCTTGTTTTGTTCCTGATTTGAATGGGAATACACAGTTTTTGAAAGAAAGGTTACCTTACCCTTACATGTTCAATTCAAAATAAAAAAGATTAGGGAGTTGCCAGAATTTTAAAACTAGTTTTTCACAGTTAACTCATCAAAACAAAATATGAAGTGGTTAAAACTCTTCAGTTCTGAAGATGGTGCCAAACACACTACACCAACTTGCTGTCATAATTAATTAAACAAGTCCCCAAAGAGCTATTACAATGGAATTATCTCTCTCAGCAAGTTCCCTACTAAACTGCTGGCATAACTAAATTAACTAATCGGATTCTGTCAAAATAAGGTATGTTTGGGGATGATAAGAGGAATTTTATCTTAAGGGTTATTAAAATATGTGAGTTCTATCACTTGATCAAGAACTTAGATGATATCATCTTTATGGCACTGTATTTTTTAATCATTTATTCTATTAAAGGAAGACTGCTGGAACACTCACGTAATTGCACCACAGCACTTTCTCCATTTGTGGCAATGTAATGCAGCGTCTGTTCCCCATAGTAGGAAGCTCCTGTCTTGTCAACATCAGTACTAGCTATTACCAACACAGCAGTAGCTGTAAGAGCAAAAACTTTAATTAGATTTAAAACACAAATTAAACTAATGGTGATTAGAAAAATATTAAAAAGTATAACAAAGCACATGTAAATTTTCATTGAATAAGCACTGATACTCTTTTCTTTTTCTATATACATAGGAATATATCTAAATTAATGCTTGATAAACAAAATGGGAGATAAAATATATTTACCATACCTTTTTTATTCCATTGCATTGTAACCTTATCAGCCTTAAAGAAACTTTTATTGGCTAAAGCTGCATGAGGTCCATCAAAGTTGGGGTACTGATATAATCTAACAAATGAAGGTGCACCCTTACTTCCTGGAACATAGACAGCCACCTAAGATAAACAGACATAAATAATGACTTAAATTTTTTGAAGCATATAAACTAATATGGACATGTTTTTAAAGTCACTAAAAACTAGGAAAAGGTTTAATCTCATAATATTCCACATGAACAAACAAAAACATTAGCAGTTACCTTGTACGGCTGGGGTCCAGGTGATAACACAAAATCATTAATTTTTTTCAAATGCAATTTATTTGCAAATGTATCTAAAAAAAGTAAATGGTATTAGATTAATGAGAGAAGCTAATAGAAATATCTCAAATTCTGAATGCATTATAAAAGGTTAACATAACTATACACAAAACGGCTCACTGTAGTCTCATGTCGGTGAGGCAGAGTAACAGAGTGGAAAAAGCATGGGTGAGTGAGACAGACTTGTGCTTGAATTCCTACTCAGTCACAACTGTGTGACCTTGGGCAAGTAATGGGATTACATACCTAATTCCTAGGGTACAGTGCCAGGCACACAGTAGGTATTAAATAAATATCAGTTCTCTTCTCTTAAATCTCTGAACTAAAGTAGTCTTAGAGCCCATTTGACGGGACAGATGACCCTAGCTTGCTACTGTAGAACGTGGAAATGAAAATTCTGTAACTAATGTGATAAACAGATCCACAACAATGATAATCAACAATAGTAACTATAACAATGGCCGATATTTGTTGAGTGCTTACTCTGTGCCAGGCAGTAAGAAACCAAGTATGAACACTACGCTCTCCTAGTTAACAGGATCAAGAGCTATTAGTCTTTCTTTGTTCAAATATAGAGATCAACAGCTATTCAAAAGTAGCATACCAAACTGCTAAACTGGCAGCCCCCTTCTTTTGGCATGCTCATAAAGAGGCAAGTAAGATAAGCGAGCAAGCTAACCCCAAATTAGTGGGGAAAGGATTAAGTCTCAAAAGCAGGAAATTGAAGGGTAATGCTAAATGATTGTGTAGATGGTGTCAAAATCAGCCTGCATGCCATCTTCTGTACATGTGAACATCTACCAATTCCCATTCTACTTCCTTGACTTATGATGGGGTTATGTCCTAATAAACCCATGGTAAGTTGAAAATATCATAAGTTGAAAATGCATTTAATAAACCTTATGTACTGAACATCATAGCTTAACTTAGACTACCTTAAATATTAAGTGCTCAGAACACTTAATATTACTCTACAGTTGAGCAAAATCATTAAACACAAAGCCTGTTTTATAATAAAGTGTTGAATATCTCACATAATCTACTGAATACTCAACTGAAAGTGAAAAACATAATGGTTGTACAGGTCCAAAAGAGTTATAAGTGTATCAATTGTTGACCCTTGTGATCATGAGGCTGACTGGGAGCTGTGGCTCACTGCTGCTGCCCAGCATCACGAGAGGGCGCTAGCCCAGGAAGAGATTGAAATTCAAAGTACAATTTCTACTGAACACTTTCACACCATCATGAAGTTGAAAAATCTTAACGCAAACTATTGTAAGTCAGTGACTGTACTAAAAAGTGTTCAGTCACCAATAGAATATTCTAAGGACAAAAAGAACTGCAAAACTTTCTTCTTTAAATTATTTTTCAGTAATCATGTTATAGGTGTTACTGTTGGTATTGCTATTCTAAGAATGCTATGTGGTCAATGAAGAATAAAGCAAATGAATAACTATGTGGATGTGATATTCTCAAACTATCACCCCTGTTATCCCAGAGAACCACATTCTTGGTGTTGGCAAAAGGCAATACAGATATAAGATAAAAAAGAAAAAAAAAAAAGGCCTACAAACAATGATCAACACAGTAGCAATGAGAATCCTCTACACCCAGACTGTGGTCTCTAAATACCATTTTCTACTAAAAGGGAGCAGAGTATATTGGAGAATTGGCTGATTCTAGGTGTATAGCAAGAAATATACAAGATAATCCTAGAATGATTTGTCCTACCATATAGCAAAAAAGTCATTAAAGACTAATTGACCAATGATGGGACAATTTGAGAATCAATATGAATACTAATTAAAATGGATTGAAACACATCATGTTCAAATCCATAGTTCATTAGGTTGGGGGTGGGGACTAATTGGTTGCAATGGAGATTGCTAAAGAAATAACTCATTTTACTAAAAGTGATAAAGGAGAAGAATATTTATTTTGCCTTTCCCATATAAAAGGTCCACTAGGTAACCAAATAGTAGAAAGGGGAATTTCTCCTTATAGAGGTAGTACAGCTAATAAATGATAGGGGAAGGAGGGAAACTATAGTATCACCAATTTTTAACCACGCATGAAATAATGGATTGAGGCACTGAACATTAACGCCAATTAACCATACAAAATTAAAGACAATGAGACATTATGTGCTTCTTGATAAAAGAATTGAACACTGCCTTATGATGTAGTCTTGCCCTCAGTTCCCCAAAAAAGAACTTGAAGCTGACCAACTCTAGATCCAAATAGTTATTTACAGGAAACAGATGAACATGTTAAATTACAGAATGGGATACAAGAGCAAAACTCAAATATGGGAGTATATATAAGACAAGTAACTTTGTTTCTTAAATAATAAATTGCAAGGAGGAAAAAAGAATGGAGAGGGAACTTATAGCTTAAAGAAACTTAAAAGATATATAAATCAATTGCAATGTGAAGGACCTTATTTGGATCCTGAGTTTTAAAAAATTTATCACATTTTCAATTATTAGAAATTTGAACACTGACCAGATATTCTATAATCTGTGATAATGGTATCATGACTAAGTTTAAAAAAAATATTAAGAGCCCTAATCTTCAGAGATACATACTGAAATAGTTATAGGTAAAATTATATGATGTCTCCAATTTTCTTTAGCAGAGTAAAAGAGATGGTAGGTGGACAGATGCATGGATGAAGAAGGTTTGGCAATGGGCTGATGGCTATGGGACTAGGTGTCTACTTTTGTATTTGAAATTCCACACAACAAAATATTTTAAAAATTTGTATCACAGAATTTCAATAGCAACTAAACTCAGAGGTACTCAAATGTCTTAATAGTAATTATCAGATAGTAAAAGTTTATTATAAAAGAATGTGTTATAAAATTTTACTAGCAATTACACTTGGAGTTATTCAAATGAATTACTATAACAGCAATTGTTAATATATTAACAGGATTTAGGAGAACCCTATGATACCATATAAGGCAATAAAAACTGTACATATTTATAGCAAATAATAAAATTATTTCATAAATCTTTCCATACTAAAATTGTTGTCTTCAAAGAAGTGAACTTCATTGTTAACATTTCGGGCACAAAGAGTTTCATCTTCTGACCAGGATGGACACCTACATTGAAAAGAAAGAATATTAAAAAAATTTAAATAGAATGCAACATCAGATGTTAACATGTTAAAGTTTACGATATTGTTTACTATTTAAGGAAAAATACTTATAAATATGATGTCAAGTCAGTTACTAATAGTTTTAATCAGCATGTATAATAGAAAAATATTATTCCTTTTGATTCAAATACTAAATAAAAGATCAAGTTTTTACTCTATTACATTCTCACCTACAAAATCCTTAAAGATCTAGATTTTGATCTGAGAAGTTATTTTCTAAATCAATACCAGAGAAACAAATAACATACAATAAAGATATTTAAAATATTTAAAAATAATTAGTATTTTAAAGCATTTATTTACCAATTTTGCATTTTTTTCTGGATGAAAGACTTCAAACACGTCCCAGTTTTCACATCATAAAGTTGTAGGTTAGGTATCCCAGCTGTATCATCTTTAGAAGTTGCCATAAAAACAAAAATTTTTGCAGTAATTGTCTCCTAACACTAATAAAAAGATTTCATTCTTAGAAAAATTTGAACAAGATTATAAAGATCGGGTAAGAGTTGCTTTAAATCAACTTTCCCCTCTAGCTTTAATTATAGATTTAATCATCCATTCCTAAAGCTATGACCATATGACGGCTGTCTGAGCAGAATTTTGTATTTCTGAAATGAGTTAATTACTACAGTTTCTAAGAATACTTAAGAGATTAAGTGTGACATAGTTTGCTGTTAAACAGATTAAACTGTCTTATCACAAAAGCTGTGTCTGTAAGTCACACACATGAAAAAATGTTATATAAAACCACTCACAGTCCTCAACTGATTCTCAATTTCCCTTTTACTTACTTGTAAAATAGAGTCCATGCCTCTTGGAAGAACGAACTCAGGAAGTTCATAACCCAACAATGAACTACTATCATATATTTATTCAACAATATCCACATTATAACAAAATGCTTCTTAAAATAAGCCCTATACCGGGACCCAATATTTTATCACTGATCTATGAAGCACAGCTATATATTGGGTTGGCTAAAAAGTTCGTTTGGATTTTTCTGTAAGATGTTATGGAAAAACCCAAATGAACTGTTGGCCAGGCCAGTAAAATGTTCATATAATGTATATTAGATCTTTAAATGCCTTGAGAAAATGACACATCATTTCCTACTCTTTGTCATACCATACACATTTCTTAGGTGTTGTGTCTACTATACTTCCTCTTTCATTTATAATTATATAAAACGTTTTTTATTTTAAAGGTCATTATTCTTCTTAATTTTTGCGATCTTCTCTATCCATTGGTTATTTACTTTATAAATTTTCCCTTGAGCTTTTTTCTTTTCCTCTATCTCATGATGGATCTTCTCACTAACTTACTATGCCTTGAAATTACTTAAAGTACATTCTATTTGGGGAATACAAGATTCACTGTCAATTAAAAATATTCTCAAACACTATTTACTATCATAAATATTAATTACTTTCCTATAAGGTTATAAACTTTCTCCTTTTTTTCCCCCACTGAGTTGAGTTGGTCCTGTCAGAATATTTTTACAATTGGAAAATACTTACTAGTGTAAGGCTGCCATGTTGCCAGGACAGTGTTTTTTGGCGAGAACTCAAGGCAAACTGCCTTTGGAAGGTCGAAGGAGTGCAGTTGTCCCTTGTTAGTGACATTGATAACATTTATTCTGGTTTCAAAAGAAATTACTTCAGCAATGAAATACTGTTTCACAATAGCCAGCACTATCCAAAACATTCATACTTCTTTTTAAGTACAGATCACTCTAAAGTGTTCATTCCTCATAAAAATCAATTTTCAGTCAGTTCTAGAAAATATCCAATAAACACTTTAATGTAAAAAAGTGTACATTTTACCAAAAGGCCCTTATTTAAGGCTGGTGTTGGGAAGTAATATAGAATTTGCAGAAAGATACAATAGATACCACCTTCAACCAAAAAGGAAAAAACAGGCCTTTAAGTGAACACAGAACAAATCTACAGATAAGCTGACGAATTTCAAATCCAAGAGAAAATGAAAAGTATATATATTTGAGTAAATGGAAACTGCAGCAGCTAGGGAAATCAGCAAGGATACTTTTGATGTCTATAAAAATCTCAGAAGCAGTCTACGAAAGATATTACTGTAAGAATTATTGTGGTACAATGACAAAAAAGACAATAATTGTAAAAAAAAAAAAAGCAGTTTCCACTTTTGGGGACACTTTCTATGAACCATGTTCTGGTTTAACCACTTTATGTACATTTTCTCATTTAATCCTCACAACAATCTCATAAAACAGGTATTATCATCTCCATTTTACAAATGGTAAAACTGAAGGTTAGAAAAATGAAATGATCTGATGATTTGCCCAAGAGCATCCTACCAATAAATGCCAGAGCAATGCTCTGAAACCTGTTTGGCCTGATTTGCTCTTACGTAGTCCTTGTGGTGAAAGAAGAAAGAAAGAAAAAAAAAAAAGATACTCCATCTCACTGCAGAAATTCCTTAAAGTTACTTTGTTCAACTCAAGTTTGAGGACACTGGGTTAGGATAAGTGGCAACTGGTAAGAATAAACAATTACCATACATTATTTAAACACAGAAACATACACACGAACACACACACTGATGACTGTAGATTCTTTACAACTTACTGTAAATTACATATTTTAGAATTACATGAAGCTTCTTTTTTGTTGTTGTTAATAAACTTTAAAGTTATTCTTAGTTTAATGAAGGGTGTTTATTTTAATTTAAATAAGCACACATTTAAGGAAAAATCAGTTATAGCTTCTGACTTAGTTAACCGTGAACCCAGCAAAGACCACAATCAATACACTATATCTGTTTCTCTTGCCCCAGGAACAATATGTATTGTTGTGGCTGCAGCAACTTAAGGAAATAAATGCTAGAACCAGGTATAAAAAAATCTATTAAAAAGATGGACACAACATGTGGGGACATATTAAGAGGATTGAGTTGAATCCAACAGAAAACAAAGTGGAGATATGACATATAAAAAATTAATAATAATTGCCAAAGTGAAAATAGACTTACTCAATAAACTGTAGGCTAGTAGAATAAGGGATACCTCAAAAAGATAATAGGCAATGAAAAGATGTATGGTATGTCCCATCAGATAGTAAATTTCTATCAACTCATTACTCAAATGGTGTAAACTAAAATATGGATTTAGGGACTTCCCTGGCACAGTGGTTAAGACTGCACTCTCAATGCAGGGGGCCTGGGTTCGATCCCTGGTCGGGGAACTAGATCCCACATGCATGCCGTAACTAAGAGTTCCCATGCCACAACTAAGACTCAGTGCAACCAAATAAAAATAAAAATATATATAAATATTAGAAAAATAATAAAATATGGATTGAAAATTAAAAAACCAAATACCCACAATAGGTTACACCTAAAGAAATAAAAGTTGAGAGTACGTCCTTTGTTTGAGGCTGAGAGTAAGACTGTCTGTTAACACTATGAATAAGACCCAATATAATTATATTCTTAATAATTTGAGAGTAGTAGTTTGTTGGTTGGATTCAATAACTTAAAAAAAAATACTGATGAACATTTTTAATTATAAAAGCTAATTCTGCCAGCTACTTATAGTCATAGAAATGAATCAACTAATTCAATGCAATCATTTTAGCATTTTTAAAAATCATGTGTTAATCCAATCTGACCTGAGAGCTGAAAGACCTCAGAATATAGTACCACTGTGTAAGAAACATTTAAAATATACTTTTCAAAAGGATGCAATCATTTTTCCCCTTTAAAAAACCTAAGATATTATATCTGGCTAAAAACAACAAAAATAACTTTAAACCAAGCAACAAATATTCAGGCATTTTCCTGCTGTGAACTGAAATACAGTGACTATGGAAAATTGAAAAGAATTGGTTTTCTAAGTAAAATTATGAACACTGAACCAAAATACTTTTTTTTTTGCAAGACCAATTTTGTAATCTGATTATTTTATGTAATACAGACTATACCATACTATACTATACTATACTTTTGAATAACTTATATTTAGATGACATGCTGTTATACACAATAAAACTAACAGTAATAAATATAGACAGTTGTTAATAAGTTAACAGCAAAGATATAAGGTATCTACCATAAACAAGCAAAGAGAGTTATTCTCTAAATGTTAGTGCAGAACTTAAGAAACCCTAACCAATCACTTAGAGCACTATTTAAAACAACCTCTCAGCTTCTTCTGCATTAAATTAATTGCCCTTTTTCATATGTTACTTTTATTTATTTATTTATTTATTGCTGTACGCGGGCCTCTCACTGTTGTGGCCTCTCCCGTTGCGGAGCACAGGCTCCGGACGCGCAGGCTCATCGGCCATGGCTCACTGGCCCAGCCGCTCCGCGGCATGTGGGATCTTCCCGGACAGGGGCACAAACCCGTGTCCCCTGCATTGGCAGGCGGACTCTCAACCACTGCGCCACCAGGGAAGCCCCATATGTTACTTTTTAATTCTAAGTAACTAGAGAACTCAAAGAAGTCCTGGCACATAAATAGAAACTAACAACTTTGTAGATGTTCTGTGGATGTTATATTGGAGATAATACCTAACAACACCAACACATTAAAAGATGAACTTTATAAATGACATCTAAATACATGTTATTCACATAAAACAACTGTTTTATATTCACAACACACACATAAAATGTTATATAAATGAACACTAACTTTTCTCCGTTGCCCCAGGCAAACAAGGTCCCATCATTACTAAAGGTACAGGTTTTGCAATTTTTCCCAGATTCTCTAAAAATAACAAGACAAAAAGCTTAAATTAATAAGCATTAATACTTTTTTAAAAAATCTGATTAAACATCCACAATCTTACCACAAATTTAATGACTAAGAACTTACATAAATTTTAGAAAATAATTCCCAAATGCTTTAGTCTACCAAAAATACTTTCTTGCTTAAAATGCAGTGCCAACTACCACTGTAAAGCTGGAAATTGATTTTATACCAACAGACCAATGTTAAGTAAGAAATAGAGCCCTTTTGGGTAAATAACTAGTTGGTATGAAAACCCAAAAACGTAGGTGTATGTGGAAGCTACCAGCTGTCAGCCCTTATCTTGAGAGAGCTGAAGGATTTCAACACAGAGGTTTTGTGAAGAATTTCCCAAACTACCTGCATAACAAAACAATGGTGGATAAAATATCCTCAAGTGGCCAAGAAGTGACCCTGGATTTCAAGGACAAAGACCTTCCATTAATTTCTCATGTGCAGAGACAGAAAGTATAACAACGATAAGAGGATCTTCACATTAAAAAAATATGGATGCAGGATTGTGTACAAAAACTAACCTGTGGAACTTGAACTTCTTGGCAACCTTCTATCAAACGATCAAAACTTTAAGTACTGTTATCTCTCAACTGGAGATGGTTACTGTGAGTACACCTCCCAGTGATAATGAAGACCCAAACAGAAATGTGTGCATGTGTGTACAGTACACGGCCATATGTGTAGTCACAACATTAGATCAGAACTTTGTGGCTAACAAATATTTGAATTGTCAAATAACGACACACAGAGAACTGACCACTACACCCCTTCTAAACTGGACAATGTCTTTGTTTCTGTTGTTGTTGTTTTAAATAAATTTATTTTATTTATTTTTTATTTTTGGCTGCGTTGGGTGTTCGTTCGTTGATGTGTGTGGGCTTTCTCTAGTTGCCACAAGTAGGGGCTACTCTTGGTTGCGGTGTGCGGGCTTCTCATGGCAGTGGCTTCTCTTACTGTGGAGCACGGGCTCTAGGCACACGGGCTTCAGTAGTTGTGGCTTGCAGGCTCTAGTTGCTCCGTGGCATGTGGGATCTTCCTGGACCAGGGTTCGAACCCGTGTCCCCTGCATTGGCAGGTGGATTCTTAACCACTGCGCCACCAGGGAAGCCCTGGACACTGTCTTTGCATTAATTCATCTGAAGATGACATTTGTGTTTCTGCAATCATACAATAATGGTAGCTTATCCTCAGTGTATAGTTACTAAAACATTTTTTTTTCTCACTCCCTTACATTAATAGCTATGACCAAGATGTCCTCCATTCTATACTTGTGCAACTCATTTCTGAACCTTAAGGCAGAATTTTACAATTATTCTTTTTAAATCCTACCCAACTTTTGGTCTATTATTCCAGCCTACTGATATCTACTTATATCTTCATTTTCCCTTTTAAAAGCATTAGTCATTCCTCACAGATTTAAGTAAAATATAAATTATAAAACATCATTCTAAGCTATCATCTAAATTAATTATGAGAATATTGGATGACCTTTGAACAAGCTCCTGTGGCTCACCAATAGTCCTTCCCTCAAACTAAATCAACTCATTAGTCAGCTGACTTCACAGCTCTTAACCAACGACAACTCTGTTACTAACATCATTCAACCAAAAGACTTTCTCATTTCTCACATACTTTGCTAAAATCATGTTTATAGTTCTATTCTGATGTGTCCGGAAATTCTACTCAGAAAGGAAATGAGATAAATGTGAAACAATTTATTCTTAGCAAGCTCATTTTGACTCCAATAATTACCTCCTTATTTTAATGATTATAAATTGTCTTTTTAATAACTCATTCTAGAATTATGTTTAAGAATGAAGGCAAGCTTCCTGGACTATAGTATCCAGACTTCAATTCTTTTCTTAATTTTGGCAATTGGAAAATTTTGTCTATTTCCTTCTGGAACAATCTTTTAAATGAAAAATTTCAAATATACACAAAAATAGAGCAAAAGTATGATAACCCCCCTACACACTTATCACCAAGCTTAAATAATTATTAACTCATGGTCAATTTTCTTTAATCTACTCCCTACTTTCATATTTAATGCCAGAATATTTTAAAGCAAAACCAGATGTCATATCATTTTACTCTATACTTCAGTGTGCATCTCTAACTGATGAGGGCATTTTTAAAAAACAGAACCACCACCATGCCACTTTAACTCATGAAATTAACAATAATTCCTTACTATCATTTAATAGGCAGTATTTGGATATCTGGTTTTTTGAAAGCTCCCCAAGTCATTCTAATGTGCAGCCAAATTTAAGGACAATTCATCTAAAAGCTTGATTAGAAGCAGATTTTTAAAAATCTTCACAGAAGGTAAGTACTGCATAGTTCCTATTCCAACTTACCAGGAGACACATAATGTCTCCTTGTTCTGCTCTTAGTGATGCTGAGATTGTACTGGACTCATTATGCGCCTCCTCAGACTCACCTAATCCTTCCTGCTCCCAGGCACCAGCTATTCAACGAAGAGACCTGGCCACCTCATCTCCTAACACCACTGGTTGTCTCAGACTCTCCAAGAATGAAGGCCCCATTTCAGCATGGCTTCCATTATGCCTATTGCAGTAGCAGGAAGAGAAGCACGGGCACTCAGATTCAACCCAAACAGATCAAAAGAAGATTCTGGCTGCAGACCAATTTCGTATCCATCCTCTTCAAAACAGATTGTTCTAAGGCACAGAGGTTCTATACAACCTCTCTGGAGAAATTCTGCATAACCAAGCAACTTGGATGGATTTTGTGAATCTGTGGTCAGTAGTTCAGTGCACCTCACTCTATACTTGCTTTCACTTCTTCCTTGTCTCATTTCCCTTTCCCCCTCAATCCTGCTGCCTTGGGATTGCACACCCCAATGAAGTGCAGCACAAAAGCTTTAACACAGACTCTTATTTTCCAAAGTGGTGCTTTTCAAATATTAATGTGCATACAAATCACTGAGGAGCTGGTTAAAATACAGATTTTGATTCAGTAAGCTGTGTAGGGCCTGAGATGTTCTGATGTTTGATTTCTGCACTGGCTCAAGGTGATGCCAGTATGGTTGATCTTGGGCCCATATTTCCTGTAACAAGGTTCTAGAGAACTGAGTCTAGTAAAAAAAATGGTCAACAGAGTCAGATGATGCCAGCCTGATTGTAAAGTTCCCTATCAACAGTTCATCTAACAGCATCTTTTAATGATCATTTGCGTAGATCAGTCGTTCTCAAAGTGTGGTCCCTAGACTTGCAGTGTCAGCATTACCTAGGAACTTGTTTAAAATTCTAATTCTTGGGCCCCTGCCCCAGATCTAATGAATCAGAAAATCTGAAGAGGGAACAGTATCCTGTGTTTTAACAAGCTCTTCAGATGATTGTGATGCATGCAAAAGTCTGAGAACCACTGATACATGACTTCTTTAGGATAATGAAATGGTGATTATCTAACCCCATCATTCTTTTTAAATTTATTACTGTTCTATAAAGAAGTTTTCCTCATCAACAATTTGGTTACTGAAAAATAGTTTGTACAGGAAAGGCAACATAAATGTTTGATTTTTTTCTTTCTTTATCAATTTTCAAAGTAATGAACAAGGATCCCATCAATTTCTAATGCTGACCAATACGATTTGGAGGGAGGAGGATTTTTTTACAGACTACTTATATACTTAACATGTCTTAATTCTTACAGTCATTATTCTTCTTAATGCTCAAATTATCCCATCTAAGGTTGGTATAAACCCCTTCAGGTTGACTCCTGTGACAGTTCAGCAAAACCCCATTAGCCTTTTATAACTTCCTCGCTTTCTGGCACAAGATATGTATGGCTCAACTCATACATTTTTTGTCCTATACCTGGAATTGACCACTCCTCCAAGGAAGTGGTTCCTTTTAGTGAAGAATGGCATTTAGAAATCATAATCTGTGAGGTACTTACTGCTATCACTGGCTCTAGACCTTTAGAGTGGACAGAACTACGAAATACAAATACAAATGAATTCATTTTCATGAATTCATATTGATACATGCAAGTCTATCTCCCCATTTCACTCTTATGCTGAAACTTTGGTTCCTAATGACATTAATTATTTATTTGTTTTACCCTACAATAGATTTAAAAGGACATCAATTTTCTATTAATAATAAAACTATTGAATGCATTTAAGAATATTGTACATCATCATATGGTTGTCACCAACTTAATATAAAGCTAGGTTCACTTGTTCCTGTTTTCCATTTAAATATTTTTTTTAATTTAAAACAATTACGTGGTCCAAAGTCGAAACTATATATACCAAAGTTCATTTAGAGACATGTCCCCTGGATCTTGCAATTCTCTCTCCTCCTATAGATAATCACTTTTGTTAGTTTTTGGTTTACCTTTCCATTATTTCTTTTTGGGAAAAATGTCTCTCTATTTATCTAGCTATATATTTATATGTATATATTTTTTGTATATTTCTTCATTTCTTATACCTTTCTCATTCTATAATTTATTGAAGATTATAGGCAGTGGTTTGGCTATCACATTTGCAGGTTTTTCCTCAGTCCCTAAGATAAAATTCTTCTAAGCTAGAGGCATGAACTGAATTACACTATTGCCTACACCTTTTCTTTTAAACATGCTTAAGCTATTATTTTCAAATCTAAAGATCATTTTTCTTGATAGAGAATATGCATGCTTTCATTCTTTCCATCTTCTGTTAATATATAATATGTCCCAAGAAACTAGCTTATCTGTTCTTTTTCTTTTTTGTTCAGAATATAACAACAAAAATACTTTAGAATGCAGTGTATAGTTCTCTGTAACATTACTCGACAAAATAAACCATACCTTGGAAACACTGTGCTTTCCGTAAAATGTGGTGGTCCATTCACCATGTATAGTCCTTCTGACCCTTGGACTAAAGAAAAAAAAAGGGAAAGAACCACCATTACTTTGTTAATAAATACTCAGTTATCACAAATGTTTAAAAAAAAAAAGCTTTCAGTCAAAATACTAATGAAATCATTAAACATTTCATAGAACTATCAAACATCAGCATTAAAAGGGTACACTTTTCTTCTTCTTTTGCATAAAATCATATAACCGCTGAGAAATAAATAGGTAATGCAATGGACTGAATGTGTCTCCACAAAAATCCTCACATTGAAACCCTAATCCCAATGTGATGGGATTGGAAGGTGGAGCCTTTTGGGGGGTTATTAGATCACAAAGGTGGAGTCCTCATGAATGGGATTAGTACCTTTACAAGAAAAACAGAGGATACAGTAAGTTGGCAGTCAACAAACAAGAGGGTCCTCACCAGACCTGACCATGCTGGCACCCTGGTCTCAGACTTCCAGCCTCTAGAACTGTAAGAAATAAATTTCTGTTGTTTATAAGCTACCCAGTATGTGGTACTTTGTTATAGCAGCCTGAACTGACTAAGACAGGTAATATCCCTCTTACTTCTTTTCCTATAGAGCATATTCATTTAGTCTCTAAGGAGACTACTTCGATAAATCCACTTTTATCTATCTTACAAGAAATCTATGCATTTGCATTGAGATACAGCATTCATACTTATATTCCTTTATTCAAATGGAAAAGTGATCTTAGTATTATGTTTTCACATTATTTTCTAATCTCATTTTCAAAATGTATGGATGCTGGAAACAGAATTAGGAGCTGAGTCTAAGTTAAATCTTTGTATCAGCTTATTCTCTCAAGTAACTTTTATAATTAAAAACTCAAAATTGTAACTGTCACCAGTGAAAGGCAGTTGTACTATAGTAGAAAGGACATGAACTCAAAGGTAGACCTCAGTTCCTATCTGACTGTGGAACCTTAGATGCATCGCCACCTCTGAATCTGCCCCAATCAGCAAAATATAAACTTTAAAATACTGTGTGCTTTATGTAAAATAATAACATAAAAATATAGTATAAATTCATTCAAAGTTCTTAAAAAATATGACATTATTAATATATTTACAATTTCTCAAGCTAAGAGAACAAGCAGGATGAGATACATTCATTTACTAAGCTCCCAATGATAGTAATATTCTAAAAAATTAAGTGGGAACAAAGTTCAAGATTAAATAAGCAGAAACATCTACAGAACTAGATTATACTTTTTTTAAAATGGCTGAATTAGAAGGTTCTAAAGCTGAACCAATTAAAATGATTCATTCATTCAGCAAATGCTTACTGGAGGAAAAAAAAACTACCACCAAAACCTTATGTTGAGTACTGCAGATACAACAGGGAGGAAAATCAGCCTGTCTCTGACCTCACTAATCAGGTAATTAGTCAAATATATGGCAATCTATAACTGCATTTAGTGCTACAAAGGAAAGATATGAGGCTACTAGAGTGAATAATATGGAGTTTTAATCTAAAAATGGAAGATTAGGGAAAGCATCCTTGAGTAAGTGATTTGTGTGCTGAGATCTGAAAGATGAATAGCAGTTAACAAGCAAGGAGAACAGTTAACAGTCGCAGAAACTCCGTGACAAGAGAGATGACAGTGTCACAGGAATGGAAAGGAGGCCTGCGTGGCTGGAAGGAGGTGGATCTGGAGAAGAAAACAGGGCTCAGACCAAGCAGGATCCTGTGGCTTAAGTTAGGCAACGTTGGACTGCAGCCTAAGAATGTTGGGAAACATTTGCAATTTGAAAAGCTCAACTTGGTACAGTGTAGACAGTGAACCAGAAGGCAGTAAGATGTGAAGAAACTACTCAAGATGGTCTGCAGTAGTCCCACAGAAGAGATAATAGAAACTTCGGGAACTCCCTGGTGGTCCAGTGGTTAGGACTCCAAGCTTCCACTGCCAGGGGCCCGGGATCCATCCCTGGTGGAGGGAACTAAGATCCTTCAAGCCAAGCAACACGGCCACAAAAAAACAAAACAATACAAAACTTGGACTAGGGTAGGGCAGTGGAAATGGAAAGCGGAGAATAAGTGTTCAATATTCAAGAGAGAAAACTGACAGGACTTGGTGATGAGTAACTATTTTATCAGCTAGAACTCCTGCTAGCAGCAACAGTATAAGAGCTGAAGAAAGGAAAAAGTTTTACTGAAGTCCATGGCTACAATTTCACTTCCTTTTCTGCCAGCTATTCACAAATCTCCCACTCTTCAGCAGCAAAGCTGGTAGCTAGGGGCCACTCTTGGCTCCAACTCTGATCCCTATTTCCTTTCCCTTCTCAAGGGACAGTTCTCATAACATCAATTTTCTACCTGTAAATTAACTAGCTCAATCTTCAGATATTGAAAGTAATATAATCTATCTTCCCAAAGTAAATAATTTAAAGTTAGACTGAGGGAATTCCCTGGTGGTCCAGTGGGTAAGACTCCACACTCCCAATGCAAGGGGCCTGGGTTCAATCCCTGGTCAGGGAACAAGATCCCGCATGCATGCCACAACTGAGTTCGCACGCCACAACTAAGATCCCGCATGCCGCAACTAAGACCTGGCACAGCCAAAATGAATGAATGAATAAATAAATATTTTTTTTGTTTTTAAGTTAGAATGAAAGTAAAAGAACCACTGACAAACAAGATAAAAATCTATGTACTCAAGGAGCTTCCATTCTAGTGGAAATGATGAAAAATAAGGGAGTAAACACGTAATTGAATAATGAGTTTCTGGTCAGATATCCACAAGTATACAACTGGATACCATGTTTCCTCATATACTAAACTGAGCTGCCAAACTGCTGTGGGTAGTTTGCCCTTGAATAGAATGGAGTCTAGCAAAGTGTTCTACATATATCAAAATCTAAACTCCTCACACTACTGCCTACAAGGCTCTGTACCTGGCCCCTGCACAGCTCCATGTGCTAGGCATTAGGGATCTTAAAAAATGAGTCCATCACTACACTCAAAAGGATGATTTCAAAAGGAGCTCAGCCTACTGCTACACCTTGAATGAAACACTGACGATATCTATTCCAAAAATCTCTAATACATTTAGTAAACATTTTGTGCCAGGAAATGTTTTCCTAGAAGACTTGAAAACTATGAAGTTTAATCCTTTAGCATCAGAAATTCTCAACTGCTTCTTGGCGTTCTGGATAAAATCAACTATTGCATCAAAATTCTCTTACTACACAGGCAAAGCTGTGTTGTTTCTTGTCACCAAATCAATCGTCTGCTGCAATATAATGTATGATACATTATGATTTAGAAGAAAACAAGCCATTCTTTTCTTAATACTACAGTTAAGGTTTTAATAAACATTTATTTGAGGGATTAATAAAAAGTGAATTTCCCAAACTAGGGGGTTTGTAGTTGTCAGATTACATGTTATCGCTAGGTTGCATAAAATTCTGCAGCCTAATGAGGTCCCTCCCACAAGCTTCAGTGACAATTTAACTCACTAATCGCTCTTTCAAAATTCTCATACTTATCTAGGAAAACAAAACTGTACATTATCAGTGTATACCCAATGAAGCTGCAATACTCTTAAAATGTCCATATGATAATGCAATCAAACCATGCTCTATTTCCTTGACACATGCCTGAAGTGATTGGCAAAAAAGAAAGAAAGCTTTCCCTAGCTCATCTCAGCTTCTTGTGTTCTTATGACATTTGTACCTAGTGACCTTGGTCCTCTGTATTTGTTGACTTTGCTGTTATTACCGACCACAATGTTTACTTGGTGAAAATTCTAAGTTTTCGTACGTTATATTAAAGTGGCAGCTGTACCTCAGAACCCATGAAGGTAGCCTTCTGGCCACAGCAGTGGGAACTTTCAGGATATTCAGGGCAACTAGTACGGGTACATGGTTTTCCTTTTCCAAAATTTCTATTTCATACTTACATCCCAAACTAAGACATGTAGAAGATCCCCAAAGAGTTGCTAAGACTGAATGTTTATGTACCCCTACCCCAAATTCATATGTTGAAACTTAATCCCTAATGGTATTTGGAATGGCTTTGGGGAGGTAATTAGATCATGAAGGAAGAACCCTTATGAATGGGATTAGTGCCCTCATGAAAGAGGCCCCAAAGAGGTCCCTTGTCTCTTCCACCATGTGAGGACACAGTGCAGAATGGCTGTCTATGAGCCAGGAAGCAGGTGATCGATCACCAGACACTGAATCTGCCAGTGCCCTGATCTTGGATTGCCAGCCTCTGGAACTGTAAGAAATAAATTTCTGTTGTTTACCACCCAGTCTATGATATTTTTGTTACCAGAGCCAGAATGGACTAAGACAGGAGTGGGGGAGCAAAACTCCCACTTAACTTAATAATGCAGATTATTAACCCAAAATCTCAGAAGGCAACACCGACAGAAATGTCAGTGTGAAAAGTGCCATGTCTTTCTTGCTCAAGTAGCATTCAGTCTCATGTGGCTTTCAATTACTGGTTTTAGTATGTTTCTGGGGAAGCAAAATCTTGAGTCAAATTAATCAACTGCTTTTCAACATGCATATGTTCACATTCTAAATAAAGAACACTTTGAAAACAAAAATTAAAAGGTTACATAGTCTATGATTCCATTTATAAAACTCTTTTTTTTTTTAAGGAAAATACATTTTTATTTTGCACAGAGATGGAGAAAAAAAGGCAAACTGTTGTTGTTTGAAATTTAGAAGTACATTTCAATTGTCCCTTGAATAATAATCAAGATAATTTCACTAGGTAGTCTCAATAATTTTGTATTATATTAAGGTTGCTATTCAATATTTATCACAAATCATTATGTTTGGCCATGCTATAAAAACTTACTAAAAAAAAATGGTTGGCTTTTCACCAGGATATATAACACTCATGAAATGACAAAATTATGATACAGGACAGATCAGTGGTTGCCAATGGTTAGAGTTGGAAGGAGGGTCCAATGATAAACGGGTACATCTTTGTGGTGATAGAGCAGTTCTATATTCTAATAGTGGTGGCTACATGAAGCTACACGTGATAAAATATAGACATGCACAAACTAGTAAAATCCAAATAAGGAGAGCAGTTTAGTAAATACGACTGTACCAGTGTCAATTTCCTGGTTTGGCTAATATACTATAAGATATTACCATTGGAGAAAGCTAGATGAAGGATATGCAGGAACTTTCTTTATTCTCTCTGCAACTTCTTTCAAGTCTTAATTTATATCAAAATAAATTATGTTTGATATGTTTATATCAAACATTATGTTATATATGTTTATATCAAAATAAATAAATGTTCCAGTAGAACATCAGCAATATGTTCTACTGGAAAGAAAAATCTGGAATGCTAACAGTTCTTTTCATTAAAGCAACAAATAAATGCCAGAGTTTCACACAGAATAACTGTTTAAAAACAACAATTACATTAAATACTGTCCCTACATAGTATCTTTTAAAAACTTACTAGCCTTTCTAGATACTCACATACTATTTATTGCTCTAGGCCTGAGTTAATATGAGAAAACTACTGGACTTCAACAAACAAGGGTCCTATGCCAGGGATATGGCATATAGTATAGTATATGGCAAAAAGTATAGTATGATACTTTTTCCAATGCTTACATCCCCTGAAGTATGTATCAATTTAAGAAAATGACTCAGTCCTGATTATCTCAATGGCTTCAACTAGGCAAGCTGATTGGACAACATGGGCTTCATGTAAGGGCTATTGTTTTACATGCCTAGCAGCCAGGCCCCCCTTTTAGGAGACTTTAGTTTTCCTTTGGGAAATATCCAGGGGTGAGAATATAATTTGGTCCTGGTGATCTGATTAAAAATTGACTGATTCAAAGATGAGCATGAGCCAAGCCAAAGACAGCCAGCCTTGAAACTGGCACACATGTGCACCTTCCTCTGGGGCTGTTGAGCTGGTTGACTGTAAACCTGGAGCTCCCGATTAGAACATCAGCCTGACAATAAGTTTAATCGGAAAGAAAGCAAGAGCTGAAGGAGGAAGAAAAACAGATTTTTGGAGTCATGTGACTACCTGGATGTAACAGTAGAACCTTTAAGGTTACATGAGCTTTTTCTTAAAAAAAAAAAAAAAAATCCCCTTTTCGGGGCTTCTCTGGTGGTGCAATGGTTAAGAATCCACCTGCCAATGCAGGGGACACGGATTCAAAGCCCTGGTCTGGGAAGATCCCACATGCCACGAAGCACCTAATCCCGTGAGCCACAACTACTGAGCCTGTGCTCTAGAGCCTACAAACCACAACTACTGAGCCTGTGTGCAACAACTATTGAAGCCCACGCGCCTAGAGCCCAGGCTCTGCAACAACAGAAGCCACTGCAATGAGAAGCCCGCGCACTGCAAGAAAGAGTAAGCCCTGCTGGCACAACTTGATAAGTCCACACGCAGCAACGAAGACCCAACGCAGCCAAAAATAAAAAACTAATTTTTAAAAAATACCCTTTTTACCTGCTTTAGCTTTTTGTCATTTCCAATTAAAAGTGATAACAAATAAAATTTGCTGGATAATCTTTAAATTATTCACAACTTCAAAGTCCCATAAGTCTATATTTAAAAAAAAGTTTTGGAAGTAAAAGAATCTATTATTGACTGAAATACCTATACTAAGAATGTTTAAAAGATTAATCAGTGTGTTCTAGTGAAAGAAAAATCAGCCATGGAGTTGAATGACTGAATATAATCCTGACTCTGCCAATTTGCAATGTGAATTTCTCTGAGCTGCTATAAATATGAGAATATTTGGAGCACACGGACTAGATAACCCTTAAGCTCTTATGAAGTCCTTGATCTTAAGCACTGTAAGAAAACTGTCACTCTTGGTTAATCTGACTACAAATAAAGTGGTTGTCATTCATAATTTATTCTTCCATTAAACACTTAGTGTCAGGCTTCCCTGGTGGTGCAGTTGTTAAGAATCTGCCCGCCAATGCAGGAGACACGGGTTCGAGCCCTGGTCCGCAGAGCAACTAAGCTTGTGCGCCACAACTACTGAGCCTGCAAGCCACAACTACTGAGCCCCTGTGCCACAACTACTGAAGCCCGCGTGGCTAGAGCCCGTGCTCTGCAACAAGAGAAGCCACTGCAATGAGAAGCCTGTGCACCACAAAGAAGGGTAGCTCCTGCTCACTGCATCCAGAGGAAAGCCCGTGTGCAGCAACAAAGACACAACACAGCCAAAAATAAAATAAAAACAAAAGCAAAACAAAACACTTAGTGTCTATTGTTTACCAGGCATTGTACTTGGTACTGAGAAGACAGGGATGAATAAGGTTCTGCCCCTGCCATTAAGGAATTCACAGTCTAGCAAGGGAGAAAAGCATCTAAACAACTAGATAATTATCCTATGTGATAAGTGGAAAAAAAACCCCCAAAACCTCAAGTATATATGAGGTACCAAAATAGGCTGGGGAAAGACTATCTGGGAAGAGTAAGGAAAGACTTCACAAAGTAATGATGTCTAAAATGAAATTTAAAAGATAAAAAGACGTCAGGCAAATCAAGAGGAAGAGAGTAGTGTTAGACTGAGGAAACAGGCTGTTCAAAGGTTTTATTAGCAGTTCAGTATTGATGGAGAACAAAATAGGATAGGATGGCAAGGAGTGAAATGAATGACAAGAGCTATTCAAGGATTATAAAGGGTTCTATATGCTACGCTAAACAGGATGGAATTTACCCTGCAAGCAGTCACTGAAAGGATTTTAAAAGGGAAAAAATAATGATCAAATTTTAAAATGTACCAGTTTTTAAATTAAAGTTCAAAAAAAGCATTTAGTATTCCAAAGTTATAAGTAACATACAAGCTACCTTTATGAAGCTACAGAAATAAGTTCATTTAGTTACTTTTTAAGCAGTATCTACCTGGTATGTTATCTAACAAATTAGTCAGTTTTTGATAAATGTGTGGTGAATGAACTGTGGTAGCCAGATTGAATATGAATGAGCAGGGTGCTTAATAACAAAGATCTCAAAATGTAGAATGGTGAAAAGTGCAAAAGCTTATTTTCCCCCCAAGTCTCAGGGGGAAATAACCCCTTTCCTCAAAAGTAGACAACCTTTCTCTCAATGGCTTATTTTTCCTTAATATGTTATTAAGTTATTGGTAACTTATAGCCTTCTTTTCCCTCCCAACTCCCCTCTCCTTACTTGATGCTCATATATGAGACTCCAGCCATTAATCCAGAGTCATCGCCGACATTGTCTAAGACTAAATTTATTATCTTCTCCAACATTATAAACTCTGCCTCAGCTTCGAAACCTCAGGAATCCTGTAATGTTCTAACGTTGCTACTTTATCTTTATAATGTTCATTATATGCTACCACCCCAGACCACACTCTCATCCCCTTAAAACCTACACTACCGCAGCTCCACTCGCCCTACTCTGTCCCACAAATTTCATTAAAGCAAGGAGTGCAGGATTCGGTATCACTTAAATTCAGGTGTATTTAATGTGCGTGGTTATTCTAGTAGACCGAGTCATACGTTTACGTTTTTTTCTTATTACAAGAGCTAGCTAAATGACTTCACCCTGTCAACAGGGCCTGTCACCAAGTAAGCGCTGGTGTAACACCAGTATTGCAGGCCCAGAGTAACAAATCCCACTAGCACTCTTCGTTTTTATGCCCCTTCCTCTATTCTTGTAGAACTTGAAGTGTCAGGAAAGAATGATGGACGAGCAAAAGGGAAGGGGAATGCTGGAGTCCCGAGGCTAGAGCCTAACTTCCGACTGCCACGCTACACCAAGATCTCCAAAAGGCCCTCCGGCTCTCCTGCAGTCCACAAGAAAAGGCGGATCAGACTCCAAGGCTTCCCGGGTGGTGCCCAAGATTAGAGACACAAAAATTATTGCTCTAAAGAAATAATCCCTTGCTCGTTCAGAACTCACCTGTAAGGAGCGGCGTGGACGGCGCCATCTTGTCCCGGAAAAAGAAACTCATATGCTTGGGTCAGAGTTCACGAGAGCCGAACCCGGCCCCAACACGTCTCCTCCGGCGTGAGACGGCAAACTGGTGTTTCCGGGGCCGCCAGCCTCGGGGCCAATTCACTTCCGATCGGAGAGAGCCTTGAAAAAGGAGCCCGAACGCGCACGCGCAGCTCTGGGGCAACACTTTACGGAGCGTCGAAGGGCGGGGCTAAGGCTGGAGTGCCGGCCTTCGCCTGCCCTCTCCCTCTTCCTCAGCAGGCGGAGCGTGCACTTCCGCGGGGCGGAGTCGGCCCAATGCTGACGTTGGCAGCCTAACCCGAAGTAGTTCGAGGCGACGGGTTGCACCGTCCGGTTGTTGCGTTGTGTAGCGTTGCGTTCCCTTCCTCTCTCACTCCACGCTCCCGGCGGAGGCCACAGCGGCGACGCGAGAATATCCTGGCGACCTGCTCTCCTCCTCCCGCGCGCCCGTCTCGCTCGGCCGGACGGTCCGGCGTCGTCAGTCAGCCGGCGGCCCGCGCCCAGCTAAGGGCTCAGCCCCCGCGCCCGCCGCGCCCAGGCCCAGCGGCCGGAGCTAGCGTCCCACCTGAGAGCCTCCTCGCTCCGGCGGCGCGGGCATCGGGAGCGGAGCGTCGGTCGCAGCGGCCCGAGGAGAAGCGAGCGAGCGAGGCCCAGGGGTGGCCGGGGCAGGTGGTTGCGCCGCGAAGATGGTCGCCAAGCAGCGGATCCGTATGGCCAACGAGAAGCACAGCAAGAACATCACCCAGCGCGGCAACGTCGCCAAGACCTCGGTAAGGGAAAAGCAGGCGCCCCTCTTGGTTCTGCAGCCGCGTATGAGGCCCGGGCCCCGGGGCCGCGCCGAGCTCTCTTCCCCAGACCCGGGCGACTCAAGGGCCCGAGGCCGCGAGCCGGACGCTACGTTGGGAGCTCAGGGAGGTGGGTGCCGGAGCCGGGCGGCTCGGGAACACAGGGGAGACCAGTGAGGTGCAGGGACCCGGCGACCTGGCTCGGGGTGCAGGGTGAGAGCCCGGGGTTAGAGTGGTTTTTTTGCATTGGAGACCGTGGATTTTCCTTTTTGCAGAGAAATGCTCCCGAAGAGAAGGCGTCTGTAGGACCCTGGTTATTGGCTCTCTTCATTTTTGTTGTTTGTGGTTCTGGTAAGTGTTTTGGGGGCGACCATCGGGTAAGGTGTTGGATGACGGTTTGGGGATGACGTGGTGATCCATCAGTGGTAAATCCTGCCCGCATAGTTCTCAATCTACCTGCCGGGAGATCCGCATAATTCTGTTTTATCTGAACCCAATTACTTGTCCCACATATGCACAGAGGGTGGTGCTCTAGAAACTTCTCCCCGTTTGATTTGAGCTCACAGGAGAGCAGAAAAGGAGGTCAGGTCCTTAGTAATGATCGAGTTGACAAACATTAGACCAAAACAAAAAACAAAAACACCTCCCAGAAAGAGAATTTAGAATATTTTGCCACCTTTGCGAAAGAGAAGCTTATGAACATCATGTACATGCGGGTGTTCGAACTTAATTTAACATGTTCTGAAATGTAATGTCTTTATGTCAAAATTGGATATATTTTATAAAGTAAAGCTAGTGCAAAGAATTGACTCATTGTAGAGGAACTTGTACCTGATTGGCAATTTAACGTGCGAGACAAATGTTTTTAGTTTAATAAAAGAAATGTTTGGCATATGGTAGGAAAAATTAGTTATCAGGGCAGACTGCTGTTAGAGTAGTAGACTCTTGCCCAAGGAGATGGATTACAGAATGCCTTCTTCTCTTCATCTTAATATGCAAGCTGTTAATATGAAAATACTTGTTTCTGTTTTACACGTTCTGACATTTTAAAGTTACTCAGGTTTCTTTTAAACATTTCATTTTGCCTGTCTCCTAAACATACCAATTGGAAGCTTTCCTGATAAATGGCCAAGAGCCAAGCAATTTATGTAACCTAAAGATTATTGAATTTCAGCCTTGTGAGAATGAGGAAATGTGCATATGTTACAGGTCAAGTACACCTAATGTTTAGGGTTAAACCAAAATAATTGTATGCTAGAAAAACCTTTTTGCTTTGGTGCTTTAATTTCTTTCCAAAAATCACTGCTTATTTGGTAACTCTCTAGACATTTTGGCATAAAATTCAAGGAAGCTGAGGCATAAAAAAAATTGTATTATTACGGTAGGCCTGTGTTCATATTACTGTGAAGTTACATAGTATTTGCAAGTAATTGTAAGGGTATTCTTGGATTCTTGAACTACCTTAATATTTGTCAGTTGCCAGGCCTGTTTTATTCCAAGCATGTTTTAATACTTGCTCTTTCTCTTTACAGCAATTTTCCAGATTATTCAAAGTATCAGGATGGGCATGTGAAGTGACTGACCTTAAGATGTTTCCATTCTCCTGTGAATTTTAACTTGAACTCATTCCTGATGTTTGATACCCTGGTTAAAAGCAATTCAGTAAAGCATCCTGCCTCAGAATGACTTTTCATATCATCCTTCATGTGTCATTCCAAGGTTTCTTCACAAGTCATTCCAAGTTTTCTAGTCCATACCACAGTGCCTTGCAAAAGCACCACATGAATAAAGCAATAAAATTTGTTAAGCTACAGTAGTGGACCCTACTTATTCAGTCAGTAAAGAGTAAGTTTTTTTTTTTTAATGTGGTTATTAGAACAGTATACAATATAGGTAATTAGATTGAATCTGTGTAGACAGGGTCTAGATTTTGTTAGCCCTAATGTGTAAATGCAATTAGCTTAATTTAAAATTTGGAATCCTACGGTTTTTATATAGCTAGGCACTTTATTACTATTTCTTGAAAGCACACTCCCATAGAGGGTTATGTAACCGACCTGTAATAAGGTGCTTATAAATGGAACAACTACACAGTTAGCCTAGTTTTCCCGAAATCTCTAGCACCTGAAAATTTTAAAAAGCTTCTAAATGCCTAATATAAAGGGAGATGCTTATAGCCACAACGTCTATTTTAACAATATTATTTCTATTACACTACCTTGGATTTTGCATGAGTGAATATACTAACGTAAGAGGCCATAAGAAAACAACTTGGTTGAGCATTTTATAACTTAGTCACTTCGGTTTCACTAAAAGCAGCCATGGTGGAGTAAAGTCAGGGAAGGTTTTTTATTATCACCATTGATTTCACCAGAATTACTTTAATATATCAAAGGGGCCTATTATGCTCACAACATTTTAGGGAAAAATAGTACTAAAAATGGATGCCTCATCAGGACATACTGTTGAGTCCAGTGTGCCGTAGGACAGCATGTTATTAGCACTTTTAATACCAAAAAGGCACATCAACTGCAAATTAGTTTGGAAATGCTTTTTCTTGATTAAAATTCTGTTAGGGTACTAGGTACATCAGACTAAAGTGTCATGTGAAATTAAATGGATTTACTGATACGGATCAGTCTTCAGTCTTCCCTTTGTTGTATGATTTTATAGGTTATGATTGATCAAACTTTCTTTTTACTAATGGTAAGGGTGAGTGATAAAGCAGGTTTTGAGTTTTCTGGTACTGTTGAAAATTTCAAGTATTGGCTATTTAAATTCTTAGCCATAATGATGAAAAAAGCCTGAGGTGTCTATGTGGTAATGAATTGGAAAGAAAGCTGCTTATTTGCTGTATTAATTGCCTCAGGATACCTCTTGAAAATAAGCTGTTTTAAGAGGAACAGAAGGGAAATCTACTACCTAGTCTATATACAGTGTGAACCTCAGAGCTTCTGATACCCCTAAGTATGGGGAGAATAAAGGAGAGGAGTGGTTAAGGACTTTTAGGAACTTGACTACAATAGGAAAGGAATCTGCTGACCTTAGGCCAGCAGGTTTTTGTCTGCATTGTTACCTGCCTTTCTCACCCAGAAAATCAACCCCTGTACTTGTTTCCCTCTTGGAAGCAAGTGTCTTGGTTAACTAATTCTATTTTGTTGTAACTTAAAAAATGAAAGTTACTGTTCTAAATTCATAGCAGGTGCCTTATTCTTTGCTTTGAGTCAAACTATTCCATATCAGAATTTCCCTTGGTTTCCTATAGATAACTGGCTTTAAGACATTGAGGGTTTTTTGTTATTTTTTTTTAATGTACAATGTCTGTTAGTTTGACTGTCAAATTGCCATAGTGAGCAATCATTTTTCATATGTAAAGTTGCATTCCCTTTGTATATCGTGTCATTACCAATTGGGTGCATTTTTAAGGATGGATTATGCATGTTTGGGTCAATGAAAGCTGTGTCATTTCATTAACCCTTTAAAAATAAAGATCCCTGAATATTTGATGCCTTCTAAAAGGAAATGATTTTATAGAGTTCTTATCTGAGTATACTTTTTATACTTAATAGAAAATGATTTTAAGGAACGCCTGGTATGTTGTACTTGAGTTAAAAGAAATAGTACCCAGAGGCACAAATTTAAGGTTTTAACTGGGAATAGATAGCAAGAAAAATATATAAAAGCACAATGAATTAAATACTTTCCCAACTGGGGTTTACCCTCATCTCATTATTTGAGTCTGGTTCAAGGAAAAGCACAATTTTTTTCTTTTTTTTTTATTTCCCTTTCCCAGTTGAATTTTATATGTCATCTAATGTTGAGCACAATGTGAGAATAAATACTTTATCGGGGTTGTCTACATTATCCAATTACTCTTTGTAATTTAGCTATAACGTTTCAAGGAGTTGTCAATGATTTCATTGTATCTGTTGGGTTGTATATAATGTTGCTCAAAATGATTGAGTGGGCTTCCAAAATAAGTGAAGATTTTCATTGTAACAGAATGCATTGTAATAGGCTTTGATTTACATTAAAGAAATGTATATACTCAACTGCAAGGCCATGGCTATTGTCACTGAGGTTCCTGGAGTTTTGTTGCCACAAAGGACTACCATGTAGTGCTGGATTATATTCTTGGGAGGTTCAGCAACAAAATTTTATTATGCTTTTAGCATCTGTAAAATTTAGGACATCAT